AAAATACTAAAAGGATATGTAAGATAAAATTAAAAAAACATCTTCATATACCTGTATATAAATGTATGTTCCATCAATGACCAACACAAGCGTATCATTTCCTCCACCCATGAGTTCACGTGCTATTATTGTTGTATGATTATCTATCATCTGACGACGAGTAATATGTGAAATTCCCAGGTGGTACGGAACGAAATCTTTCATTATTGCTTTACGAGCAGTTTCTTAAGACTATCCCATATATCATTTTGTAGCCCGTGAAGTTCTCTATCGAATCGTATATGAAGTAGAGTGGTTAACGACCAGATAAAGCAGCTTTGTGGATATGAATGACCTTGGGCTGCCGGCGTGGTCGTATGCTACCGAGTATTTCGAATCTTGGCCTTACCCCGACACAACTTCTTAAGACTATCTCATATATCATTTTGGTAGCCCGTTAAATTCTCTACCGATATGTATATGAAGTGGACTGGGTATGGACCGAATAAGGTAACGTTTTTGAGATGAATGACCTTGGCGCGCCGATTTTACTGAGGTGCTACCGGGTATTTCGAATTTCAGGCGACGGAATTTCAATTTGTTCTGATGATCTTCTAGACTGCTTTGTAGTCCGTGAAATTCTCTATCGAATGGTGTATGAAATGGACTGGTTAATGACCGAAGAATGGAGAATTTTTGACATCAATGACCTTGACCCGCCGGTTTGCTGAGTTGCTAACGAGTATTTCCAACCTTGGACTACTCGGACACAGCTTCTTAACAATATCTCATATATCATTTTGTAGCCCGTGAAATTCTCTATCGAGTGATGTATACTAGTTGATTCTTCCTGTAGGGGAAAGAGTTAGGCGAATTAAATTGCTTTGGGCAATTTCGTTTAAAGCAAGAAGGTTTTAGTTTGGCAAAAGGCTTCCAGGGGCGTTGGAAAGGATTTTGATTGTCTAAAAATATGATAGGTTTAATGGGCAAGAAAAACTGCATCAGATGAGTTACTGCATAATGGATTTGGTAGTGGGCCGATTTGCGGTCTTATCGTCCCCCGTCCTTTGTAGAGGAGTAAACGAGCTACTGATTGCTAAAAAAGAATCTTTCGAAAGAGCTTTCCATTCCTCAATAATTGTGTTTTATCGTCCTGACGCTGTGACAGTCGCTTTTCCCAACAAAGTTTGAAGCACTAAACATTGCTCAAAGGATTTCATTTTCATATTAGACTTAGTTTTAGGCATTTGATATAGACTAAGGTGAAAATAAAGCTGAAAAAATGTTTTCACTTTCTTAGAATTGTGTGAGAATCTTAAAACTTAAAACTTTATCAAAAAGCTTGTTTTGAATCTAAACTTCAAAAGAAACAGGGCGTTGCCGAGCCCTGGCCCAACTAATGAGACTCTTGAGCAAGGTCGAAACCAACTTTTGGTTGAAAACGCTTCTTGCAAGCAGAATTTGGTTCAGAGTGTTTTTAAAAATACTTTTTGCCTCAAAAGTCCATAGGACAGGTCAAAGCGGAATAACTCAGTCAAAACTGAACCGAAAAGCTTGACAAAATTCTTTTTTAGATACATCTTGATGTACTCTCTCGACTGACATCAAAATCGACGTTATAAGTAGAAATCTAAAAAAATTCATAAATGCTTAAGAAGAAAATTTCAGACAGGAGTGTGTTTTTAATGCTTATTCCGCCGCTGATTTTACGACTCTTTCACTAAGCTTTGGTTTTAACAGCACTTTGATTTGTATGCATTTGATTTACAAATAATGTATGTGTGATAATGATCATCAAAATAAGACCACATACGTCCTAAACCATTGTTTGTATTGACTTTTTGATCCATATCATTAACACTGGGAACATACCAATCACCCCAGCCAGTGGACCATTTAACTTGATAGGCAGCAATTTCACCACATTTAATTACAAAATCAATATTCAAATCTAATCCAGCTAACCACCAACGTTGATCACCAAGCGGTGCTTCATTTGTAACTGTTGTACAAACGGATTGTGCAGTAATATCGAAACAACCCAGATTGCCGCTGCTTTGCTGTGCACAATTGCCTGGTTGTTGACCACTGACAATTGGAGCTACATAGCATAACAGGACGACCATTGTTGCAGCTACCATTTGTAAACTGTTTGTTGTGCTTGCCATGGTAAATCGAATCTTGTTGCCTTGCTATAGATGATCGGATAGCAACTTACTTACTGTGTTTTTGGGATTGAGTTTGTTTGAGTGAACGTTTGTTGTGAAGAGCATAAGCCAGTTCTTGTCTATTATATACCATACTTATTTCCGAACTTTCACGCCAAAGAAAGGAAAATTAAAGGTATGCGTAATATATAATCTTTACACCTGTAACTTCATTACCTGATAAACAACTAGTCGCATCTTCAACGTCAATACCGATCAACACTTTTGTTACTACCACCGCCACTACCTCTCCTGCCAATTCCACTAACACCACTGCCACCGCCACCGCCACCATTTCTTAAAACACATTTCTACCGTTTGCCATCTTGGTAATTTGATCACCCTCAAAAGAGCATATGTTGAAGCACGTTAATTCTTCGTAAGTAAGGCGTTATAAACGTATATTAAAGAGTGCAACAAGATAAAAAGTCGTAGAAAAAGGAAGAGAAATTACGAAAACCCTTTGCATAAAATTAAAGAGATATTATCTTATAGTAGCGGTTCTTTTTAGAACCTTTTTCGTTTAGGTTATCAGGAGGTGTCTCCGGATGCCACAAGTCTTTTTGGTACTTTTTCGTGATATCCTACCTTTGTGTAAAATAAATCTATCTATCTATCCGCGTAATAGCGAGATAAGAAGGTCAGCGGGCGACACTAGTGGCATTCCCGTTTCATTTTGCTGAAATCTGATCGCGAACACAATTATGTCTCGTATAACGAGAAAATGCTGATCTTGGCAAAATAAAATCGCGATCTTATAATTGTAACCGCGTTCTTGATCAAATCAGTAATGAGATCCCGTTCCAGCTGGTGTTTCAAACGTGTGACGGGATCACGGTAAGATTACAGCAAGGTTTTTCTTTCACACACCGTAGAGGAAAATTTTTCAAATTAATTATTCTTTAACTTCCGCAGACTTGGTTTAGGCTGTTTCTTGAAACAGTAAGAAAGCGGAAATATAAATTCCCATTAAATAAATCGTTGCACGAAGCTGAATCAAACACACTGACTTCATATTTTTCTCTTCCTCGTCTGTATAATGTTTTTTTTATTTCGTCTATCTGTCGAAAGAAGAAAAATAGATAGACAGTGTGGGTATATTATCGTCCACTGTGTTTATCCTTCGTTCTCTTTTAACGTATATAACAGATACAGATGAATACAATTCAAGTAGTCATTTCTTTACTTTTTGCAAGGGTGCAAAGAGCGTTTCATTCAAATTTATCCACTTCTTTCGATTGGTGAATAACACAATAAAACTCAAAGAGTGTTTTCTGTCCGTGTTTATTTTGTTTTGTTGTAGTTAATCGAAACAGCCTAACTATTTGACTGTTGTCATTGGTACGTGCACAGCACTTTTCTGGAGCAGAAGCGAGTTACTTTTTGGCTCAAAGATGTACTATTTTCTTCGTGACAGTTTTAAACTCAAAAGAGAATATTCTTCCTCAGACAACGCTTCAAACCTAAAGTCTGTCAGATGCTATGCCGATCGAAATAAATTTTTGTAAATGAATTTTACGTAGACGACGCCTTTCAAAAGATAACAGTAACTTAACGACTTGCAATTTTTACTTATTTTCTTCAGCTGATTTTCTGTAAAGTTCTTTTTTTATATACTGTACTGAAAAAAATCACTCGAGTTTCGTACACCCAGTACGGAACGAAACCCTTTGGTCTTTTGAGCGCGAAGTGCATTTAGAAGTCCTTTAGTGATGTTTTTCTTTGAAAAAACTCAGATTTCCTGTTTACTTTCTTTGTTTACAGTGTTACTTTTGGTTATTGCTTACTTTCAGATATATTTTGTTTATTCAACGACGACTTACATTATGACTTCAACGGATCACATCCTGAAGATAAGACCAGTAAGATGTGATCCGTCAAGTTTGATGCTTAAGTTAATAAGCAGTCTATTCCAGCTATTCTAACATCTCTCACCACATCTGCCTTTAGCTTGATCGAAAAGTCAATAATCGTACTGTTTTCCACAACATTGCATCTTGTAAAACAGCGATAGAATTTTCTATTGCTATTGAAAAGAAGAAAAACAACAGTGTTTTTTCCTGATGTTTTATTCTCACTCTACACCAAAAATGGTAGCGGGTCTAACTAACTATTATGTAGGATACATTGCAGCATGACCACGGTATCGGACTATATAGCGATAAAATTAGTGATCGTCACAGTCCTCGACAGGAATTAAATTTATCGAGACGCCACGTCAGACCGCCACACGGAACTTTATCGTGACATATCGCGCGATATAAAGGTTTCGCTTTCCGTCCCGACAGATTATTATCTCGATAAGATGCTTTATCGCGATAATGGAGATCTTTATTTCGATAAAAATTTCATCGGGGACAGAAACCGATAACTTCATTCCGCGTGGTATATGTTATGTCAGTCGTTACTGACATAAGTCATGACTCTCCCAAATAGCATTCTCTCTGTCATCATTCCTTCTCTTATCATAGCTACATTCATTGTGTTCAGATTCTTTTCTCTCTCTCTCTCTCTCTCATGTCTATTATTGTGAGGTTTTCTCTACAAGAGGGAAGTTTTTTGTTTTTTCTGATTCTATTGTTGGAATAAAAGGAGATGTGTATAACAATGGTGCACTAGCCGAACTGATACCACAGTATTATTCATTAATTCTATGTCAACGCGAAGTGGACGAATATACCGACATCTACCCACAGCTGTAGAAGCTACACAATCCATTACCAATAATACTATCACAATGACCAACACTGATGATTTAATGTTCGATGCCATCATTAAAGATTTTCCAAAATTTTCTGGTCAGAAGAACGAAAATATTGATGACTGGTTACGACTGTTACATGAAAAATTTTTTGCATTAAATTTCGATGAATCACAACAACTTAAATGGTCAGTACAATTTCTAATTGGTGAAGCTTTAAAATGGTATCTGACACAAGTAGAGCACATAACCACATGGGCTGCTTTTAAAGCAGCAGTGCGTGCCAATTATCCACCACCACCAGAACCTACTCGTACCGCCATTTTTCAACAATTATTAGCCCGAAAACAACATCATGATGAGAAATTTATACAGTATTATAGTGATGTTAAAAAATTATGTCATAAATATGATCCGAAATTATCATCTGAACAACAATTAGATCTACTTAAAAATGGTATGAAAATCTCTTTATTAGAAAAAATTAGTGGTCTAGGTGTAGTTACACCTGAAAAATTATTGGAAATAGTACAGCTGTACGAAGCTGACCAGCAATTAATTGATTCTCGTACGTTGCAAACAACGTCAGATTCTACTACTCTTGCCTTATAATCATCCAGTATCTATCCTGTCTCTTCTATTCAACATCCGTCATTTACATCATTATCGCCGCCCTATCCTTCTTCATCGTCACAATATTATTCACATTTTCGTTATCCAACATCCAATTATTCGTCGGTCTCGCCAGTTCGTAAACCATACGCACCAGACACAAGAAATCGTTCGAACCTTTGCTATGTGGTCAACCGGGACATTATGCTCGCGGCTGTTTAAACAAATAACGGGGTTTCCAGATGGTGATGCCCCTGATTTAGAATAAAACCCATCTTTAATATTTATTTACTTGTAAATAACCGTTTCGTTCACGCTCTAGTCGATACTCGTGCCACCACTTCTCTTATTCAAAAATCCTTATTATCTAAGCTTTATCGTTCTCCACGTATTCAACCAACATCAATATCTGCAAAACTAGGCGACGGCACCACCTCGTTGAAGACTGGCTACGTGAGCCTTCCAGTTACAATTAATAACATTAAGACTTTTGTTAAAGCTTTAGTCGTTGATTCATTAACGTCGGAATTTATCTTAGGCAATGACTGGAGACAGACGCATAAAGTACATATTTTAGATGATCGCTTAACTCTTCGTCATCATGGCTTGCAAACGTCCGTTCAGTTTGAACCTAACGTACCTGTACCCGTTCGTCTTACATCTACGATTCAACTACTTCCACGTGAAAAATATCTAGTAGCCGTTACGTTGCCGACCTTCGGTGCCACCACAGTTTATTTTAAATCTAATTCTCAGCTGCAGTTCAATAAAAACGTTATGCTGTCGGATGGTTTATTGAATGTTAAGAATTATAAAAGTGCTTTAACAGTATACAATCCTTCTTCATTTCCTCGCACATTACCAATACATTACAATTAACACAGTATTAGGTAATGCCACGTTTCTTGACACAAGATAATCTCGATTTCACTCTGTTACCGAAGTTCCATCGTTCGTAAGTGCTATTAATACGCCTGTGGTCCTTTCGCACATTTCTACTGAACCTTCCGTGCCATCGCCAACACTTCACATACCGTCACAACATAATACGCTTCTCGATACGGTATCTCGTCTCACCGTCCACCTTCACGTCGATACAAAAATACCGAACGTGAACCATTTGCCATCTATTATTGCCTTTCCAAGCTACGTGATTACATTGGCACTTACAACATTGTTATTGAAACCGATTATAAGCCAGCAGTCAACTGTCATAAACAATCAATGAATAATAAACGTGTTGATAACTGGTTCTTGAAAATCCAAGACATGCTCCCGCAAGTGGACATGAAATATATTCCAGGATCAAAAAACGGAGCGGCAGATGCATTATCTCGTTCATCGAATTTCTTTCTTGATGTTGATGGCTCCACAGAAGGCGACGAATGGCATGAACCTCTCATTAAACCTCCGCGTACTCTTCGTCAAATCACAACCGACCACCCTCCAAAATCTTCACTTCTTCACGCCGTCATCACTCGATCATGGCTCAACAGACACCTCCAAACCCGATGTCGGCACCGTCCCCGACAACCCTCTCTTCGATGGCACCACCATTGTCATCTCAAATTCTCGATTTTAGTCATGATAAACTTCGCGCGGAACAACAACATGATGCGATAATCGTCAAAAAACCACCCGGTCATTTACAGCCTATTCCACCACCCAATGAAGTATTTCAAGTGATTGGCCTGGATTGGTGGGGCCTAGCACCTGAAGAGTGCTAGGCTGGTCTGCCAATGGCAACAAATATGTGTTAGTTATTACAGATTTTTTATCTAAATATGTTATTGCCGCTGCTTTACCAGCAAGTAATGCTGCTAACACCGCCAGAACTCTACTGAAAGACTTCATCTTGCATCACAGTGCTCCCGATTGTGCCATCACAGATCAAGGAACTCATTTCGCAAATGAACTTATCACTGCTTTCACCCAAATGCTTGGAACAAAGGATAGCTTCTCCACTACATCTCATCCACAAACAAATAGACAAGTAGAAAGGTTTAATGCTACATTTTGTCAACAACTATCAAAATATTGTTCATCAAATCACGAAAACTGGGACCATTACTTGAAATATATAATTTATGCGTACAATAATACCAAACATGCAACCACCAACTATACACCTTACGAAATTGTGTTCAATCGTCATCCTCGGTTTCCTTTCGATCAACCGCAACAAACTTTTCGCTTTTCTCGTGCAAATGATTACTGGTTGCGAATCACTACGTATAAAAATTTATACAAAATGTTATTAAAGCCAATATTGCTGAACAACAACGTCTGGCTAAAACCGGATCTGATAAAAATCGTTCGCATCCATCGTATACTGTCAATGAGCTTGTGTGGTTACAAATATTAGGTTTTCGATCAAAATTCGATCCTCGTTATACAGGACCATTCGTTATCGTGAAAGTCCTATCTCCAGTAACTTATCAAGTATTACATCAAAATGATCATTATGAACAGATAGTACATGTAAATAATCTACGTCCTGTATATGAACGTGTCTTCTAGCTAATCTATATCGAATCTCTATTCACGGTCCTGGGCTATCTCAAGGATGGTGGCAGCTCCTGATTATTATGGACCGGTGTTGCGTTTTATTCTAGTTTTATTCGTTTACTTTTCCTTTTATGTTCACATGTGCTTTTAATTTTAGCAGCCCCTCTTCTGTTTTGGAATATATGTATCCTTTTTCTTATCTCGATTATTGCAGTCATTCTGCCTTTCAATTTTCACGTGTACCTATGCTTATTATCTTAAAACACCGAGGGAAGTGTTATGTCAGTCGTTACTGACATAAGTCATGACTCTCCCAAATAGCATTCCCTTTGTCATCATTCCTTCTCTCTGTCATAATTTCTTCTCTTATCATAGCTACATTCATTGTGTTCAGATTCTTTTTTCTCTCTCTCTCTCTCATGTCTATTATTGTGAGGTTTTCTCTACAAGAGGGAAGTTTTTTGTTTTTTCTGATTCTATTGTTGCAATAAAAGGAGATGAATATAACAGTATATCGCGATAAATTTTTTCATAGCGGTTTAACGTGGCGTCTCGATAGAGTTAAGACCTATCGAGATATAAGATACAAAATATCGCCTCTAATCGCGATATTTTATCGAAAAAAACCTCGTGGGTGGTTTGTCTCCATTTATTTCCATAGAGAAAATCCTTCACTGTAAAGATAGTCTGATTATTGATATAAACTAGCACAAGATTGTCGTAATATACTTTGCCTGTCGAAATGTTGCACTCTATCGAATGAGTTCATTATTGTGAAAGAGCGTTTCCAGTAGCTGGAAGTATTTAAAAGACATGAAAAGTTCCATAAATGGAGTCGCTGAAAATCAGGTTTCGGCTTTCTCTAGCTTTTTCATTGTCACATCATCTAGTTTTTTCTCGAATATATTGAAACAAGTTAGTTAGATCTGATGAGGGATCTGTGGTATTTTTCTTTCAGTGTTTATTGCGCTATTGTTTATAAAATGATAATTAGGTTTTTTTCGTGTATATTTTATTGTAGATGTCTTCTACTATGAGCGACTTCGGTAAAATTCTAATCGAGAATATACGAGAAGCTGCGAACATCGAGCTTAATTTGACAAGTATTTTGTCTCAAGAAGAAGTAAAATGGTTAGACAATTATCTTGAGTCATGTGGCAGTGATCCTAACATGTTATTCTTTGGAATGTTTCCAATAATTGCTCATTTTTCCAATCGTAGCCATTACTTGGATTTATTCTATAAAGCAAACACATTTAATTTGTGTTCTGTTATGACAGGACCATCAGGTAAGAGATGGAGAAAGGAAAAGAAAACATTCCTTTTTTGTCTTTTTAACCTATCCTAGGTTCGATGAAATCAGCTAATATGGAAATATTGAATGAAGCTGTGAAGAGGATCGAACGACTGTTTGGCGGTCATTATAGACGATAACAAATGATTGGTAAAAAAGAAGTAATGACTGGCTCAAAATTATCCAATATAAATGGATTATCATTACGTAAAGAACTAGCCACTGGTGATAAACTAATATTAAGTGATGAATTAGATTCAGCATTTTCAAAATTGGGTGTTTTTGATCCAAAGGAAAAGGCCGAAGAGAGTTCACTGTTATGTGAACCATTCGATCGAATTCGAAATAACACAAGACGAACAGGGTCGACAGTCGATTATATCGAAGACGCCAAATTGTCAATATTAGGTGCTACCACTGGCATGCGGTATAATCGTGTCTTACAACAGTTTAGCTAAAATGACGGTCTTCATGGAGTGCATAATCGTATGACATATTTTGCAGTATCAGATGAAAAAGAGGCAACACGTCCTCAACATATAAAAAAACGAGAGTCAGTATCATCAACAGCATCCTTTGCTCACATATTTGCTGTATGTCATCTATTTGGCGATATCGAATATCAGTTTCGAGATGAGTCGGGTATGTAAGAAGAAAAAAGAATTCTGTTTACATATATTTATGTTTCTACATTTTAGATGATGAATCATTGATATTAAATTCGCAAGAGCAAACACTGAATTCACAGTCGAATGCTCGTTATTATACATTTAATAAAACAGCAGATTTATATGAGCAAAGGAAAAAATTGACCGATCAACATAGCCGAAATTTTCATGCAAAAGTACCACAGCTGTTCCCTCGCTACTGTACGGGATTTCGGATATTCAAAAATGTGATTCGTGTTTTATCTGCCGTTGAGCAATACGTCATATTCGAAGACAGGCACAACGAATTTCGACAAACAGACGAAAATTTTATCATACAAGCACAATTAGCTATCAAACGTCTGTTTTTGGATGATAAAATCGAAAGAAATGAGCAAAAAAATGCCCATTCTGTACATCGAATTCGATACCTGTTTCGCATTATAGTCATATTACGAACACATATTCAAAGTTAGTTTGAAACTGTTTGATTTAAATCCCATGTCAACATCAATAAAAGGAAGAACAAATGTATTGTCAACACAACACGCAAATGCACGAATTATTCTTCTGTCTCGTTATAATGTATTTAGTCGGGCAGCATTTACTGGCAAAAATCCAAAGAATCTTACCGTTAATGGACCATTTATCATCAAGATCACAAATTTGATGAGGGTATAAAAGAATTAGAACGATCCAAAAAAAATTGAAAAATTTACGGGTCGTCATCGTATCCGCCCAAAAGTGAGCTATCGTTAAAGTTTGTCACACATTTAGCGTGTGATCGAAAATATATACGAGAATATCATAAATATGAAGATGATCCAGAAATGAGATCACAAATTGGTATATTAATTACTGATGGTAAAATTAGAACAACAAATGTCGATGGTGAGATACAATATGAATTGGATCCCGACTATAATTTAATAAATCATCCCACCAAATCACTATTGCCGATCTCAGCTCAAGCACAGCTATCATCATTCGTGAATATAGCACGATCAACCACAATGATTGAAGATGTATTGACTTCACCGCTAATGAATGCTGCAACAGCAGACAAACAACCAACTGAAATAACAACATTTGTAAGGGAAGCACATCTACAGAGTGAAGATATTGAATTGGTTAAAATAGTAGACGATACATGCAGCAATCAAGCAGGTACGGGACCCTTGCTTTTAAATGCACATAAGCTATTTCTTATCTATTTTAGTTATGATTGGTTCATCAAAAACAAAATTTGGCTAATAGAAATGGCTTTTGAAACTATAGAATCAGCAGCGGCAGCGAACGATCAAGAACGTAATAATCCCAATAAAACACGCTAAATGGGATACTTTTCTTTTAGTTTTCTTTATTGTTTATTATAGATTCGAATGATAATTATTCGAATGAGACGGCTGAAAGTGTATCTGTGCATAAAACAAACATGCGATCTCAACAAGCAATATCACCGTCGAGTTCATCATCATTCGCTGTCGATCAAGACCGATTTACAGATACAATCTCCGATTCAAACGTACAGCAACCACGAGTACAAGCTTTCTCATATTAAGAACAAGACGATCACCCAGTACAAATCCTTCGCGAATCTAACAAAGGTAATTTCATCGGCTATAGTACTCATTACTTTTGTATTATTTATTATTATGAGTGTTTAGTTTAGATTTTTGTTCTATTTATTTCAGTTTTGTCAAATGAAATTTCAGCAGCAATGGATCAAGAAGCCACCGTATTATCACCGTCTCCAACAAAAACAAGTACTACAAATAATAAACAAGAAAAATCATCACTGACTACAGATGACAACAACAATACTATCTCGTTCGAAAAGATTATCTCCTGTTGCCAGCGTATTCTGTTATCAAGCAGTTGTCTAATGACAGAGACAGATATAGCAAGCGTATCATCGCATTCAGATAATGGCAATCGAAATTCGGCTATCAATTTATTATTGAGAGATAGACTGCTCAAACAAGATTACTATTATTCAAGAAAATCAAATTCGTCGACTTTTAGAAAACATTTAGGATATATAAAAACTTGTCCCAATGAAGATATAACATCGCTAATGAATTTTTGTGAAAAATTAAAGAGATACTCAATCTCGTATGAACAATTTTTACAATCGTTGACACCCCATAAAAATTTAATCTATTAATTGTTACAATAACGGACACCCCATAAAATATGACGAGAACGACGCACCGGTCATCGAATCCGTGAATGTTCATTCGAGAACGTCGTATGGTTTATCTGAATCATTTGAGGCCATGATAAATACAAACGCGTTTTATCGAAAGTATGTAAAATTTGAAAGTGATCAAGTTATTCGACCTACATCATTGGCGTTGTCTGATTTATCGAGTAACGGTAAGTGTGCAATTGGAAATTTGCACGTACATCCTTTTTTCACTCTACTTTAGCTGTCGATACATTTTATTCTGCCCAGAAGAGATAAGTAACGATGGCAAGTGCGACGAGTATCGGGACATCTAAACGAAAGAGAATAAATTGAAAATAATTTTAATTTTTTTGTTTCCGTGGGTAAATGTATATTCTCATCCATATCATACCAAGATTTTTAATTTTTTATATAAGCCAATTGTGATAAACTACTAGTAGAAGAGAAAAATTAATAATTCTCAACTGAATTCGGTATTTCTAGCATACTCTTATTTGTTTACTCTTATTTAACCTCACTAACCATTGCTTTACGGTCTGCCAACATGTAATTTCATTTTTTTATTTCTATGTTTGTGTACATATTATGTCAAGCCAGTTCAAGATTATGGCAAAGGCCGGCTAGTATAGGAATAATTGCTTATCTGTATATGTCTTCCTCATATTTTCTGAGTTTAGTTTTGTTTATTTATTTTATTACTGTTATTATCTGTTTTAATTGAGTTCCTATGCAAGGAAATAATATTTCAAGCGACATTTATAATAAAGCAATATATAAGTATCTTGGTAATCTAAGCACGCAATAAACAGATGATTTTCTGGATTTCGTAATACATTTAGAAAGCCTGTTATGTTTGTGTCTATACATACTGATTGTGTGTTTAATATTTTTTCAGATCTCTACCCTATTACATCTAATAATTTGGCGTCTGTAGACGAAGTAGCCATGAATGTAGTAGCATCGGCCCCTTCGAAGTATATCGTCGAGGTCAATGACGATCAAAATGCAATTCTCTTATTGCTAAATAAATTGGTAATCAAACAGTTGAACGTTGTCTGGAAACTGTATGACGTTCTACCGGAACAATTGCCGAACAAAATCGAACATATTCGGCGTATCATGGAAGTGAACTTTGTTAGGCACTTCGATGCGATTGATGTACAATGTTCCTGTTCAATTTTTAAACATCAACCAAAAGTAGGTAGAGAGGCGTTTGGCTATGTAAAACAATGTTTTAAATGTGCTTTCCTTGTCTTTATTAATTTTAAGTTCAAAAAACAACTTTATTGTGACACGAACGTTGATGATATTATCAATACATACCGAAATCGCATTGATATCGATGATGCGGTAGGCCGGTATGAATAAGTTAAGAAATGCTGTTTGAAGATTTTCTGTCTAAAGTTTAGAAAATCGTCAATGTCATTAATTTATTACCATTTGCATTGGAATGTATAAAATGTGGACGATCAGTAGAAGAATTTTCATGCCATGACTCGACTCTGTTCGACTTAGCATCAATTAAATCTTGTACAATTTTTAAAGGAAGACGTTGTCAGTACGATCATTATCCGTGCTATTATCAAAATTGCTTAACCAAAGAAAAAGTTATTTCATTCGCAAAATTTCAATCGAGTCAATATTTACATTTCGACGGGCTCACTGTGTTTGATTTCCGATTATTCATGACGTATTCAGCAAATCTGATTCATTGTCATACAACGTTTAACGGCTTCTTCGATTCGTTCGATTTTATAATTCAATCAATTCAGGACAATCAAACAGACATCGATGATCTGTCTTTCACAAATCGAAGGAAAACATATTTACATCCACAGGTTTTTCAAAACAATTGGATCATTTATGAATTGTGTCGATTCCGTTTTATGATTAATAGGAATGCGTCATTTAAAATTCCAAAATTATATCAGAGTAAGGGATATAAACATTATTACAATAACCTATAGCAATTGTTTGTTCGTTTATATATAGAGAACTATGGACGAGACGAATATTTTCGGAAAAACGCCGAACTATTCTGTTCAATGTTTGTGGCATTTTGGACACGACACAAATTTATTTCATTCAAACAATGTGATGAACACTGTTCACGTGTATTCGTTTCCGATGGACATCAGAAGGCCGATCGTCTAGTATGTTCATTCAATAACGTATGTGAAGTTTCGATTGATGAACTTGGTCCTATTCTTCTTGGGTGCCCAGAGACACCAACACGAGATAAGAACAATGGTAAATAGTTTCCGAGTCTGTTTTCTATAATCAATATATTTATTTTTAGAGCAAAAACGAACCAAATTCTATTGTGAAAAACATAGATTGTTGTTCAATGCTAATGAAGACACAATATTATCATCGTCGCCATTATCCGGAAGTGCACTAGAACGGCCGATTTATGACAATCAAACCATTCAACAAAAAGCATTGATTCTAGAAGAAGAAGATAATCAATTTATTGAAAAATCCGATCAATGCAACGTCCATCGGGACGGGATGGAAGCTAGATCAAAATTATCTAGCTATGAGTTCGTTGCAACATTTCTCAATTGCGGAATTATTATTGGATTTGACGAACAACCCCGTTCAGTCCAAACGTTATGGTCCCTTACCGTCAGCGATGATGTACGATACAGCGTGTACACTCCGGCTCTTCATGGATAAATGGTATGAAACAGAACACTTTAAGAAGAGTGTACATTCGACGTTTTTCAAAACGATGTACTGTAAATCTCAAGTAAGAATATACTCAAGTCATTCTTGTATCCGAAGTCGACAATTTTTTATATTATTCTGTTTCATCTGAAAAATTGTGCGGGATCTCGCCTGGACATTATGGTCTCGCATCATCCGTCGTGAAAGAGTAAGTGCCTATACCATTGCACGTGGAAATCTAATTATCTAGCATTCTTTGTCTATTCTTTTGTTCTAGTGAAGCGAAACGATATTCAATCACGTTTTGTGCAATTGTGTATTTGTATTTGTGTGTTCAAACTTTCTTCTAAGAAGAATAAAAAATAGAGTATCAAAGAAGATGGTCGAATATATAGAGCAAAATTTGGAATATAAAACTTGGATATTTTTCTTCAATTTGGAGATAACTCGTTCAATAAATTAATTAGTTGTTAGAAAAGTAGATAGATAGAGGGAACTGTTGTTGTAATAAATCAGTTCAACTTCACTTGAACCGTTTTATATACCCTTTTAGTTGCTCTTACGTAAAAGTATAACGTCTTTATGGATAAAAGTTGAAGCATAAACAGTTTTGAAAACTTCTAGGCAATATTCTGTTTACCAACATAGTTTGCAGTCTCGCACAAAGTGATCTAAGGAAGAAAAAATATCTTAAAATATATCGTTCTAGGGACGTGACAATAGTAAAATTTAATGCAAAATCAGATTGAATAAACTTTCTCAAAATAGTAATGACACGTAGAATATCTGCTATATCACGTTTTACTTCTGCTACACTCTCCGTGCAGAAAAGGAACGGACCGAACATTTTTTGCATAATTTTTCAACCAAAAGAGCCAGAACCTTCCGGTTCTCAGCATTCTACAGTAGAAGGTTAAAAACATAGGCCTATACAAAAAAATTCAGAAACAGGTTTACAATGGTAAGCCGTTCGAAAATGTTCGAGCTTGTCGCTCCTAGGCCAAATAATGCATTTTGAATTCAGAGACGTCAGCTAGAACCGCCAGACCGTGCTCATTCAACCTATGTAAGTCAATCACAAGTATGTCTAAGAATGACTAACGCTCATTCTGCTCGAACTCAACTGTGAAATTAACAGGTTCCATACTAGATAAACATAACATGTATAGTACGTAAACGTCAAACAGTACAACAACTGAGGAGGGCGGATAGGGTCCTAAGAATTCCATAGACACATACAATATGTCTAACGTCTATGCGAATTCTCCTGGCAATTGCAAGAACTCCAGAATCCCAAACACACCGAGAATAATTAGCATGTAATGTTCTTCACTTCGCTGCGAAGCGGCTGTATGAACATTTTTTGCCAATTTGCCTTCGCTGCGAAGGAGTATTATGCATAATGTCTGTGTCACACTTCCTGATTTACTTGACTGATCAGATATAAGAGGTAACCAAAAATTCACAAACCTGTTGTATGTTGTTTTGGAGAAATGAAAAACGATAACTAAATTGACGGTGACTTGCTCGTTTTTGGTTACCTCTTATATCTGATCAGTCAAGTAAATCAGGAAGTGTGACACAGGAATCAAATTGTTCTTTACTATTTATCGAAATGGATTCCGTCAGAACTCGATGTTGTGCAACGATTTTGAAAAAAAACAAAGTATATCACCTATAGAATTGAAATCATTATTTGATGATATTGTTCTTGAATTGAATGACAACCCAGCTATGAATAATCGCTGCCAAATAGTTCATGCATTGAAAAGTGTACGCGGTTTAACAATAATTGGCCCGTTGATTGCAGACCATGAGCTTTATCATATTTTACGGAACACATTGAGTGATATATTGAATAAATGGCGGCATAAAAACAACAGCTTAAGTGGCCAAAACGAATATTTATTCGCGCAAATTAGTGATCTATTTTTAAAAATGATCAATCACCTGAAACATGCAAATGGATCACCATTATCGACATTTAAAACATGGTTATTGAATGAGATTTTTATGTAATCTATGGCATAATGCGTAGATCACATAGCTACCGATGGTTCGAAATATGTTGATGATGACAGAAACATGACAACTTTGAGCCTGTTGATAAGTTCATTACAATGGTTCCAACCTGGTAATAAAGAAATAAGAAACAATGTACATTTGTTGTTATTAATTAATCCAATTACTAAATGTCTTTGTTCGCACTATTATGTGAATATATTCAAACAACTTAAAATAGAATCTGATAAAAGACGTTCAGTTGAAGAATTTTTATTAGGAACATGCCCATGCTACTCTGCATGCATAGAGGTAAATCTCAAGAATTCAGAATGAATAAATTATGTGAATATAATATGTTAAATCAGTATGAAGACGTATATGACCCTTTCACATCGTCTATTGACAGATCGAAATTTTCTATAATGGAATCAGTACATGACATTACGGGAAAAGGAGCTCTGCAGGTCACATGTTTTATAAAAAACTTCAATTCAAATAGTCTAAAACTCAAAACTTAACTTGGTTTGCATCAGTTCAACGTGAAATATTCTCGTTGCTACATCACCATAATTTCTAGTATTTTTGAGGCGTTAGCTATTAAAACCGACCTAATCTTAAAAACAAAATTTTATAAAACTAAAGTATGACCAATCCAAACGATTCACAGCTTTCCGACTGATAGCTAGGTCTTCATATATATGCGTGCTCGTAACTGTATCAGCTATTTATTATGAACGAGAGTTTAGTTATCAAAAATAATATCTTAGATGCGATTATAAATATTCGATTTAAAGAAAAAGTTTTCTACATAGAAAAATAAAACATGAGACCTGCAGAGCTCCTTTTCCCGTAATGTCATGTACAACCAGCGATTATCGATGCAAAATCAAAATTAGTTGAGTTGACTCTGAAAAAACTAGGTAGACTTCAAAACAGTTCAAATAGCGTCATAACTACCGACGAAGTTGAAATGTTATGGTGGACATTTGACAGATTCTTGAGCGGGTTGTCGGTTTTTAAATAGGTTGGAAAAATTGCATGGAAAATATACATACATTTGACAGATTCTTGAGCGTTGAGGTTGTCGGTTTTAAATAGGTTCTTGACAATCAAATAAGGAAAAATTGCATGGAAAATATAGCGTAGTCATTTTGTTTCTCCTGCGAAAAGTGGCTACTCGCTCGTTCGAAATTACAGATGAACAACGTGGTACAGACCATGAGCGTCAAAATCTCTTCAAACTTGTAATTTAGATCATAGTTCGTTAGCTAATTCGTATTCTATTCATTAAATACGCTGCATAGTGAAAATGCATCTTTTGAAGTATCTCCATTTTGATCGAATTTAATCAAAATAATAATAAAGATGTATAAATGACTAAAGTCGCATAGATATAATTCACCACTTTTGTTTAGCATTTTTTATTATAAAATTAAAAACTCGGTTTTCTAAATTAAATAAACGGCATATTTCATACTCAATAGCAAAGCAAGGAAATACAGCTTGTAAACAATGTGCATGAATTAACTTATTTGATATTGCTTTATACATCATTTTTCATACAAACCATTAAAACTGTTGTTTCGTCAAAATTATAATCGTTGAACGATTTATTATAGTCCAATTCTTCAGAAAGAGTGTCGCTTTTTGACAATATTATACGTGAAGAATCAATACCTTCTTGGTTTCCAAGTGTTGTCTCAATTTTAATAATGAATCATTTACGTTGACTTTCAGTTTGAACTGTCGACCCAAAACTGTTTGTACTGTAAATATCTTATAATTACTAATACATAGAAATGAAACGCGATTCAAAAGACAACTTACGAAGCATCTTCATAACATACCCTAAACCCCCCTCATGTTAGAAGCCCACCCGCATTAGAAGCTTAGTCTGGCAAGAAATTTTTTGAAAATTGCCCCTGCCCCCATAGGGTACTTTTTGAGAAAATATTGCCTTTCTTGTGGGACATAATAGAAGCCCACTGGGCTTCTAATGTGGACGGGGGTTTAAGTTATTTGCCGATGATGATGGATTAGATGTAGGTACCGATGAGGATCCATCTGTGATGATTAATTGAAAACCGTTGCATAAATGATGCATATGATTAACAAGAGTTGGTTCATATCTCAGCGATACTTCTACCTGCTATAACGGAAAAGGAGATGATTCTTTTAATGATGGAGAAATTCTTCTTATTAGTGACAAAAAATGTTATATCTGCTTGCTTTATGGCCGGCCTATAGATCTACACCTATCAAGTTGTGTAAA